TTTTTTTTTTTTTTTTTTTTTTTTTTTTGCAAGTTTTCGTTAGTATATGTTCCAGACTAATATTCTTATTGGTTGATATCCTCAGGGTGATCATTCTCAGCCTCATGTCTGGCCACCATGGTTTGGGAGGCCTGTGGGTGTCCTCCTTTTGACTGAATGTGAAATGACCTTTGGTAGAGTAATTGGTTCAGACCATTCTGGCAATTATAGAGGGGCTAAGACATTGTCTCTTGCACCGGGGTGGGTAACTATTTTATTCTTAATCTGCATATTTCTCTCAACCTTCTTTCATCCTCTGCCTCATATTTACATTTTTTCTGTCTACTTTTACTTTCTTATGTTGATCGTCCTCTTCCTGCTATGTACTGTCTGTGTTTTATTGTAAAACACAGGAGCCTCCTTGTGGTGCAAGGAAAATCTGCAGATTTTGCTAAGCATGCAATTCCTGCTATGCGCAAGCAACGGATACTTGTTACCTTGACCAAATCACAACCAAGAAGAGCAGGACCAGCTGATGGGCAACGCACATCTTTGAATGTAGGTTCATATTCCAGTTGGGGCCCTCCATCTGCTAGATCACCCAATGCTCGTCCTTGCCCGGGACAGAAGCATTACCCTATGGGTCCATCGACAGGCGTTCTACCTGTGCCACCCATTCGTCCCCAATTGCCACCGCCAAATGGCATCCCACCAATAATGGTGGCTCCTGTAGCACCACCACCTATGCCTTTCCCTCCCGTGCCAATTCCAACTGGTCCACCTGCATGGCCTGCTGCTCATCCAAGGCATCCTCCGCCTCGTCTCCCTGTTCCTGGCACTGGAGTATTCCTTCCTCCAGGTTCTTCCAGTGCTCCATCTCCTCAACAGATGCCAAACTCCGCAGTGGAGACGAGTTCCCTTGCAGAAAAGGAAAATGGTCCGACGGAAGCTGATCACAATGCAGGTGCTTCTCCAGGGGAAAAACCTCACATGGATGGAAGTGGGAGTTGTAAAAAGACGGAGGAAGAACAACCAAAGCAGCAGGAGGAGGAGGAGAAAGGTGAGAACGTAGAGGCCCAAAATGCAGGAGGTGGAGAAGCTTAAAGACAGAGAAAAATGCATTACTTAAAAGAGAGAGAAAAGAGAGAAGAAAAGCAGGTCGGCTGCAGACTTGAATGAGTTACAAGCAAAATGTAGATAGCGGCAACATTCAAAGACTGATACTACCATCAAACTGCTACTACCATCAAGGAGAACGAGGGAGTTCCCTTTCAAAATCCTTTACTTCATTCCTTTTTTCTGTTGTCCAAAACAATTATTGGTTAGATGGGAAAACTCATTCCTAATGCCACTTCGGATATTATCTTCTTCTTCTTTAAGAGAGATTTTGAAAAGTCACAATATTTTTTACGTTCCAAACGTAGAAACATAACTCTGGTATATCATGGATGAAGATTAACCACACTCTTTAACGTAATTTCAAATGGATGTCCTTTATCTCCCATGTTATATAATAAATTGGTTAAATTATACACATGCCTTGAATTTCTGTATGTAAATTTCAAAGACTTCCATGATGTGGAACGGATAGCACCAGCATTAGCCTTGTGCTCATGCAGCTAACTACGTATTGATTTTGTTTTGAGACATCAAAAGCTTGGGTGTTTATACAGATTTTAAAAGTGTGTTTTCAAACAAGAAATTAAATCGCAATTTTAGGGAGTTCAGTAGTTTTTTTTATTTTTATTTTTATTTTTCGGGTTCATTGACTTGTCTTTCTAACTCATTTAATTTATGTTATTTAAAGTAAATTCACAAAAAAAAAAAAAAAAAAAAACATAAATCATTATTAAATTCAAAAAGAAAAAAAAATTAATGTAAAGTCAACAACCTCCTATAACATCAATGGAAAATCCTAATGGTGTTAACTATACATAATAAACAAACCGCATGAAACACATCTGATTCCTAAATAAAATCTATACTCCTTCAACTGTCTCTATATTTTTATACACAAAAAAGAACAGACCCATCTAAATCAAACAGCCGGAAATTATTGCCCAAAAAAAAAAAAAAAAAAAAATCGAAACAATGACAGCCTTCTCAGCAGAAGTGAACTCAGCCTAGCTAGAGTGATGGTGTTTCCCACGGTGGTGCGGCCGCCCTTTTCCAAATGTTACAGGGTCGAACTTTCGAAGTCGCTCGGCTTCTTGAGGTACAATGACACATTCTGCTGGAGGGATCTTGTATCGAAGACGATCATAGCAATATGAGTATGTCATGTGCTTCCTCCTGAAACTCTCCATTTTTCTTGTTTTAGCAGTTGTGATGTCATTGGGGATGGTGGCTTCGGAGTTCTGTGTAAGGTCGTCGCACTTGGAGAAGTGCAGATCGATCGGATCGACTGTGCAACCATGCAATACAAATTTGGAGAACTGGGCGATATAGGGTGCATATTTGTAGTTTACCTTGTATTTGCCTCCATTGGTGGCCCAGCCTGAACCATCCCAAATTGTTGCATACAAAGTCATTGGCTTGGATGGAAACTTACCACCCATTGAAGCTGTTCTTTTAACTTCTCTTATAGGAACTTCATCCACATAAAATCTACATATAACAAAACAGTGGAAGCATTCAGCAATGTATCAATGATTCGTTCTTTTTACGAAGTAGTTGAATGAACATTTGAAAGTTAGAGGGATTAAAATAGAACATCTGAAAGCTTAGACACCATTTTAACAAAACATATGAAAGCTTAGGAACCAAAAGAAAGAACAAATTTTAGAACATCAAATCCTTTGGGCTATGCACATACATAAACCATAGACTTTCTGAATCAACTTTCCAAATGAACTTTTTCACACCCCCCATGGCTAATGGCACTGGAAAAACATCATTAAAAAAACAAAACAAAACAAAACATGGGAGATTCCAAACTCTCTGAGAAGAAGAAAAAAAAAAAAAAAACATATGAAATAGCTTACATAATGACAGAATCAGTCCAAAGAATGCTGTACTGATGAAAATCTTCAGCTGGATCAAACCAAAGACCATATCTTTCTTCTCTGCCAACGTTGGTGCTTCCATTCCCGTAAATGTTGGTCTGAACCCTCCATTCTTTTCCTCTGATATTCCCTAAGAACTCGAAATCGATCTCATCGTGGTTGTTCTCAAACATATCGCCATTCGACATCTGTCATCCCACAGTTACTTATCCCAGTTACTAACATTTCCGCTACTTTTTAACAAAATTCTGAATCAATTACCCCAACAACTCAACAAATTCAACTCAACTTACAGGTTGAGTCCAACATCCAATTCGCTGCAATGGAAGTTAAAATTTCAACCTGAACAACTAAGAGTATGTTTGGGATTTGCTATAATTCTTTCCAAAAACACTTTGAACACAAGAAGTGTTTGTTAGGTGCCCTATGCTTGTGTCTAAGAACTGAAGTGTTTGTTAGGTGCCCTATGCTTGTGTCTAAGAACTGAAGTGTTTGTTAGGTGACCCCATAAAAGCAATGTATTTAATCACATTTAAAAACTCTGAAAGTGTTTGTTGGATGAGAACTTAAAACCATTATCAGAGGGTAGAAACTAGTAAGTTCTTTATCACAATCCTAACACATCAACAGCCCCACTAATACACACGGAAAACAGAGTAAAAGGATACAGAACAAAATCAAATGAAGAAAAACACCCATATTGTCAAGTCATGAGAAACTCATAGATTGAAACAGTTGAGGATTATTCAGAACTTAAACAGAGTACACTAAAACCCGTTTCCATTTCCATTTCCAGAAAAAAAAAAACCCAAGGAATTCCAATCTCCATACTCACATAAAAAGCAACCACAACACCAGCAGAGTAATCCGCAGGCAATTTAATGGAAGCACTGAAGAACCCATGAAGATAAAGGTCCTGGGACACAAATCCCGCGCCTGAAAGAAAATTAAAAATAAAAAAAACCAGCAAAAAAGAGAGAAAATGAAAGGGAAGTAAGAAAGAGAGAAAGAGAAAACCTGTTCGTTGATCTAGATGCAGATGCACCGATTTCCCATCCTTGAGAACAAGGAGATTGTCATCGCCGAACAAGTGGGTGTAGGCTTCGTCGAAGAAGAGGATTGGAAGATTTGGAGGGGAAGAAGAAGAGGGAAGGAGGAGAAGAATGAAGGAAAGGGGAAAACAGAGGAAGGAGAAAGAAGAGAAAGCCATGGGGAGAAAAGAAGAAGAGAGAGAGAGGAGTGGAAAAAGATGGAAGAAAATGGGTAGAGAAAGGTTGCAGTGCAGAAGAGGCGAAGAAGGAGAAGAAGAGGCGCTTTGTTGGCGTGTAATGTAGGTGGAAGGGAACCAAATTTGTCTTCCTTCAAAAGATGCTTCAAAATTCCTTTTTTAATTTTTTTTATTTATATATAATTTAAATATTTTTGTGTAATCTCAGAAACATGATATCTTACTATTATTTCTCAACAAAACAGTGGTTAGAATATACATGATTTTTGGAGAAACTATGATATATTGGGTGAGGAGTAATTCCAGTAATTGAATTAATTTATTTTTTTATGATTTTGTAGTACTCATGCCGCCTATAATTTTTGTACATAAATCATAAAAAATAAATTAATAAATCGTAACATAACACGCACAAATAAGTGGTGGAAAGAAATTAAGAAAAAAAAACATAAATTTGTTTTCTTAATGGAAGAATAAGATATATTTTGAAGATGTAAAAGGAAAAGGAAGAAAGTGGGGGCACCGATGTAGGATTTGCAACGTGTCAATTTTGGTCGGACATTCGTAAGGCGCACCACCTCCTTACTTCTGCTTCTTTTCTTTTCTTTTTGCCCTTTTACTTAAAATTTAAATACATTTCCCTTATCTATTCAGTAAGATTAATAATAATAATGAAAAATAAGAATTGGAAACAGGCGTGGGGACATACCGTCCACTGGCACATCGCAGGTGGCAGTGGGTGATTACGATGATGAACGTTGAACCTCTCCCCCACCACATTTTTTGTTTTTTTCCTTCTTTCTTTTTATTTATTTTTTAATAAATAAAAGAACAAGAAGAAGTAGCCGTTACAGACATCTGGCGTGTCCTGTGTCCTGTGTCCTGTAACGGAGTGAATCTCGATAATTTCACAAATTCCTCTCTCTTCCCCTTTTAATTATTAATTTATTCATCATCTTAAAATACTGCCTTTTCTTTTTTTTCCTTTTTTGTTTCTTAATTTTAAAACCACCTCTTCTTTGCATTTCTTAATTTTAAAACCATCTCTTCTTTGCATTTCTTTTTAATTATAAAAACTGCCAGTCCAATAACTCATCTGAAAATTTATTGATTTACTTACAAGTTCAGAATTCAAAAAATACACAAATAAAATTTCTATTTATTTCTTTATTTTCAGAATATGTATATTCCATATAAGTAAATTATCACTCAGACAATGCCACCAAACACAACGCACAATATTGGTGGAAACAAAGTAGGGCTCCACATCTCCTTGTCTGTTGTATATCCGCAGTTCCATGAATTTAATACAAATTTTGCATCTACGTTTAATATAATATATTTATAATAAATATTGTTTTTTTTTTTTTTAAGGATTTGTTTTTATTTTCTAATTTCACTATGAATTCAAATATTTTCTAAACATAAAGAAAAAAACAATATAAAGAAATGGTAATAAAACACACCATTTTCGAAAATAAAAAAACAAAAACCAATACTAAACTGTCAAGTCTGTATTTAATGAATGGTTGACCTAATTAGTATTATCTAAAATTTATGGATGTATGGTAAAAATTTTATAAATTTTGTATTCAATAGATCTACAATTTTTTTTAAAAATATATTTGAATATTAAAAAAAGAAAAAGAAAAAATAGGGATACAATGTTATACGTGAAAAGGCCTTTTAGTAAACAGAAAGCCCACGATAGAGAGTTACATAAATAGAGGCCCACGAGCATTTAAACAAAGGAGACGACATGTCGTTTTGAATAGGATTGCAGTTCGTCAATCTTATAAACTCTTAAAGACAAAAATAAATGTTTCAAATACAAAGATTTACCTTATGAAGCATTTTTGTATATAAGATGATTAAAAGTTCTTCTTTCACGCGGAGAGCTGCCGGCCTTAGGCGGTGGGTTTTGCTTTGGCTTTGGCTTTGGTTGTCGTTGATTGTGATAAACAAAGTTGAATCGGAGACATCAACATAGTATGTATATATATATATATATATATATATATGTGATAAACAAAGTTGAATCGGAGACATCAACATAGTATGTATATATATATATATATATATATATATATGCCTCCCAATCCAATTCTTCTCAACCTCTCATTAATCTATACAGCTTTTTTAGGCCATTTCAATGGCGTTCAAACGAAACTTCAACATAATGGCGAGGCCAGTCACTTTGTTGGGTCATTTGGTGGCCATATCTATCGCAGTCTTGATTCTTGTATGGATCCTCCATTTCAGAGAAGGGGTTGCTTTCAAATCAGATAACAAGCTCAAGATTCTAAATGTACTTCCTTTCTTCTATAATTTTAATTAGCGGTTTCACAAGCAAAGGTTTGATGAATGTTTCATTCTTCTTGTTCTTCAGCTGCATGTGCTTTTAATGGTGATTGGACTCATCCTATTTGGAGGGCAAGGTAAGGGAAATTACTAATGATTTGAAGTCATGAATAAATCTTAATAATATTTATGGTTGGGATATGGCGCAGCTATAATGGCATACAAGTCAATACCAGCAAAAAAATACTGGAGAAAAGTGGTGCATTTGGGGTTGCATGCAATAGCATTAGCTGCTGCAATTTTTGGGATTTGTATGAGTTTCAAGTTTCACCATGACATCCAGTTGACGAATCTTGTTTCTTTGCACTCTTGGTTTGGTTTGATCACCGTTTGCTTGTATGGTCTACAGGTTCGTCGTCCCAGCCATCTCCCTCTTTCCAGACTTTGATATCTTTGCTTTGCTAATTATTATGATGTTGATACGCACAGTGGGTAGTGGGCTTCTTTACGTACTTCTTCCCCGGAGCAGAATCAAGGAGGAGAGCCAGCTTAATGCCATGGCACGTTTACTTTGGTATATTCGTCTTCTTAATGGCAACCTGCACTGCTGAATTAGGGCTGCTTCAAAGCTTGGACACTTGGTTTTTGTTAGGGCACACCCAAGAAAACCTTATCATCAACTTCACAGGTCTTCTCATTTTTCTCTATGCGGCCACTGTTGTTCTCACTGTCATTCTTCCACCCCTTTATTAGTAGAGTAGTCCCTCCTTTTTGTTGCTCAATCGCTTTTCAAATTCATTTTCTTACATCTTTATATTACATGGTGTATGGTTGCTTCAGATAATAAACTTCTTTATTACTCCGTTGTGTCCCATTGTAACTCTTTTGATACCCCTACCTACTCAGAGGTTACTCATTGGTTAAATCAAAACTAATCCGCAACTGATCCATCCTGAAAAAAGCTTTCAATTCCATGAGCCTAATGAATGGAGAAACGATTGCAAAACCATAGACAGGCAACTCAAAAATTGGGGGAAAACTTGTATATAAATTGATGTCAAATCAAATTTTGCCATCTCCTTCCATAATCGAATCCAATCTTTAAAAAATATAATAATATCGTTCTTATATTCAATTGTATAGAACCTTTAACCTTGATGCTTGAAATACCGATTCAATCAGCAACAAAGCTGTTTGATTATAATTTGAGCATTCTACGGCAAGGTTCTAAAAAACGATCATCGCACAAAATGAATCACTCACAAACTACACTCTAAACGTACAACTACATTCTAACACCCAATCCAGATTCAGAATTAATTTCACAACGTACAGAGAACATGAGATACAAAATGTAATGGCGTATGGAGGCGGATGAGTGTAGAAGATCGGAACGAGAACACACTCAGAAAAGAAAGCTCTTAAGAGCTACAAATCTGAAGCGATTCCATTCCAAAGCACTTCAACCGTACTATGATACCATTTGGAAATTGCTGTTGAGGGCCAGAGAAGCAGGGCAACCTGCAGAGAACCTACAGGTTCTTCAGAGCCACCGATGTTATTGCTCTCCCCTTTAAATGCCTCAGCCCTCTATCGATTTCTCGATTATTCAGAATGGATTGAATGAAATTATGAAAGCCTAAACCCTAATGCGAAATGAAGAAGATGGAAATTTCTAAATTTTACCTGGATGTGCTCGAGGTATAGGAGGAAGTCTTAGGAGGCGGAACCCTAAATGACCTTATGCCCCTATTTATAGCCAAGGGCGAGGTTGTGGGGTTGCCTTTTTAAAAAGAAAATGATTTAATATAATTTATAAAAATACACCCAAAATAAATCAAATGTTTTAATTATACCCTTAATTTAAAAAAAAAAAAAAAATCAAAACTGCCTCTACCGTCAATTTTGTCCAACATTATTTCAAATTTTAAAATGTTTACAACACTTTTGATTAAAAAAAAAAAAAAATCTAATTTTTGTTGGTATATATTGATATCGAAAAAATATTATTTATTTTCAGATTTAAAAAAAAAAGTTATTATTATTAGTAAACAAAAAATTTTCATTTACATCCTCTCTCTCTTACGTATCTATGACCTAACAAAATTTTATTTCTCAATCTCTAAAACATATCAATTTTGAACATTTGCAAGTCGAATAATAATTGATTTTCCATTTAAATTGTTTTTGCTTAGATTTCAATTTTTCTTTTACATGTAAGATGACCTTCATACAACCGATCAAAGTAGACAATATTTGTTAGTAGTAAATTTGAGCTGTTATAAATGGTATCAGAGTTAATCATCGGACCATGCAAGACATTGGTTGGAGTAGAGTTAGACTCTCTCATAGTACACACATTTTAAAAAGTTGAGGAAAAGTATGAGAAGGAAAAAAAATATTTGCTGGAAGTGGGGTTGAGTTGTTAAAAATAATATGATAATTAGATGCGGGACAATGTGCCAATGATAGTGTTAAGCCCCCAAGGAAGGTAAATTGTTAGAGCCCATATTAGTGGGAGAGAAAAATAAAGCATTACTTGTATAAGTTTTTTTTTTTCTCTTCTTTTAGAAGACGGATTTTAAAATCTTGAAGAAAAGTCAGGTTGAAATAACGTCAGAAGTTAAAATAATTCAATAATAATAATAATAATAATAATAACGAGAATTAAAAAAAAAAAAAAAAAACTAGAAATATATATAAAATCTAGAAAAAGAGAGAATCTAGAAATTAAATGTTAAATTATTGATGAGGATTCATACAATAAATACAATATTTTAATGCTATTTAATGGCATAGGGAAAGGCAAAAATAAATAAATAAATAAATAAATAAATAAATAAAAGAGAAGAAATGTGTCATACTTTTGTTCTTAAAGTTGGATTAAGCAATGATTTAGGTTTTGGAGATTAAAAAGAGAGACAGTAGTATTTGAAACTAAAGAAATAGTTCTACTTAATTAACCTAACTCAAAGATAAAAGGTAAAGGATATATGGAGACATTTTGCATAATTGAAGCCTAAAGGAGCTGGATCGTCGGCTGCGGCGCCGAATTGACAAAAGCATTCAGACAAAATGGGTCCAATGGCCTTCCAATGTGTTTCCATTATGCCTTTTGTGCTGTTGTTGCTTTTACGTACCCCCTACCTTCCCTCAATGGATGTTTTTGGCTACCACTTTGTGCAACATTTTCAAGCCACTTTATGCACAAGTATCATATCATTCTTCATCATTTTAAGCATTACCCCCTCTAAAGCATGCCCCATTTTATCATGGTTTTATGATTTCTCCACACACTTTTCAAGATGCTGCTCTCTAGTTCATGCTTACGTTATTTCAAATTGTATAGAGTTTCAGGTCAAATACATTGCGTTTAAGAAGCTAAAATAAGAACCAAACACACCTTTCAAAAGTCGACAACAACCAGACACAATCCAATGACACAAACAAAGCACCCCCTTATAGACTAGACAGGATCTATATAATTATATATATTTTTAATATCACTGTATGTGTATCTAAAATTAAAACGCCGAAAAAAAAGAAGATAAAACAAAGAGAGTGAATCATATTTTGATTAAGATGGAGTGATGATTCCGCATGAGGGGGGGAAAGAAAAGAAAAGGCAATAATGGGCAGCGGCCGACCAGCTTAAACGACAATGCGGGTCTTGTCGAGGGTGGTAGTGGTCACGCGCTCGCAGCGTGGACACATTGTGAGGTTCGACGCCGGCAGCGGCTCGCAGCTGTGTGGTGAAATCACCGTCGGCGGCGCCACCTTCATCGCCCTCAGCTCCTCCACCTCCTTCTGCAGTTTCTTGTTTTGCTCCGTCAATAGGCCGAACCATCTCTTCAGATACTCGCACTCCATCTCGGTCTGCTTCAGCTTGCTCCTATGAATAATTAAATGTAAATCAATTAATGGAGTGATTATGGATTATATTATTTTGATTTTAAATTCACACCCAAATAAATGCTTAATTAATACAAAAGGAAAAGTAAATGCAATAATAATATAGTTTGAAAAATAGTATGTTGTGACTACAAAAAATACGAATAATTGTGGGTAACAAAAAAGATACATGAAAGTGAAATAAATGCAAATTGAAACCCTTTTACATGAAAGACAAGAACATCATTATTGTCTTCTTGGATTCTAATTATTACCCAACCAAATTAAATGGTGTATGCAAATTTACTTTAATCACCTTATTTTCACTTCATCTTTGTACCCATAATAGGGTGACACAATAATGAGTTGTAATGGCTTCGAAACTTGAATGATTTTAATACTCGGAATCCAACACACATGAGAATTAGATATGCAAATGTTGAGCTGATATACATATGGGTAAGGGAAAAGATGGAATAAAAAATATAATATGATATGCATATGGGTAGTGAAGGCACACACACGAGGCGGCGAGGGGGAGCAGCCTCGACATTGTATGTGTCATTGAAATATTTAAACTCATGGGGAAACCACATCATAACTGGTTCATAATTTTGCTCACCCATTGTCTCTTGGTGGCGCTGCATATCTTACCCTATAATTCCATTATTATTATTTTATGGAAACGGACAACATTATGTTATAGTTTAAGTAACAACACTTGTTTGGATTATCCCTATTCCCTATTCCCTATTCCCTATTCCTATTCCCGTTCCTTCTCAAACCTCTTCTTCTTTTGTTCACATTCGCTTTGGATTAAATCTTTGTTTTGTAAGGTTTTGAAGAATTATAATACAATCAAAATCCACGGAGAATAGATATAAGTTGATTCACCTGGCCCTTCGGTTCTGAAACCAAACCTCAACCTGCCTTGGCTTCAGCTTCAGCACTTCCGCAAGAGTCTCCTTTTGTTTCTAACCAAAAAAAATGGAGGAAAAAAGGTATTGAAATATTGGGGTTTTGAGAGATTAAATAAAGAAAAGAAGAAGAAGAAGAAGAAGGAGAATTGTAGTACTGGGTTTAAGGTATGGTTTTGTCTGAAGCTTTGTTCAAGAAGATGAGACTGTTCCTTTGTTAAACGCAGCTTCTTCCTTGGATGGCTTCCACTGTTGTTTTCTTCATCTTCCTCCATGCTTCCCATCATCCACTCCTCTTCATCCGGCGCTCTATTCATGTCCAAATCTCGCACCGCTGCCACCAAAAATCGCTACCAAACTCAAAAACTCAACCCATTACACCTTCAATCCTCCATTCAAAACTTACATAACACTTTTAGTACTTCAAATCACTACTAAGAATTTAAAAAAATTTACTCGACATGACACGATGTACTTAATCATTTATTCGTACCGTATTAAAAGAGAAAAAGATTCAACTAAAAGAAAGATGTTGGTGTACCAGATGGAGGAAGTGGTGATGATGAGAATGAAGTGAAGCCAGGTACAGAGATGGTGAGATCCAATCTTGAAGAGTTGGTTGGTAGAACCGCCATGGAAGTCTGTTGATGAAGCTTTGCAAACCAAAAAGAAGAAGAAATAGGCAGTTTTAAGAGGTGGGAGAGGAGAGAGAAAACGGAAGTGGATGATGAAAATTGAAGATCCAAAAGGTTAACTCAGATATAGATCCTTTTTCAACTTTTTTTTTTTTTTTTTTTTTTTTTTTTTTTTTTTTTTTTTTTTTTTTTTTTTTTTTTTTTTNNNNTTTTTTTTTTTTTTTTTTTTTTTTTTGTATTTATTTTGTTTTGGTCCCTAAACTCGAATTTTGTATACAAAATTGATTTGGGTGTTCAAAATCTTAGGGTTTCAATGACTTTGATTATACCAATGGACGACGGACACGTGTAAAAGTTAGGGAAAATGTAAATAAAATAATGAAGGTTGTGTAGGGTGGCGTCAAGCCCGAAAGTTTGGGTGTCGGTTCATGGAGGAAGAGATGAAATGATTGAGCAGCCAAGCAGTTTGGAGGTGGCGATCAGGAACCCCTTTTCCATACATTACACAACCAACAATGCATTATTGATGAATACAATGTGAAATAACGCAGATTATATTATATGATACACAATTATTGGGCCCTAACTCCTAATTATTTGAGAATAACACATCATGAACGTCAAACCAATTTGGTTTGGTGTAGAATTAGATATAGATATAATGAACATCAAAGCTGCGCAGATCTCTTCTTCCACTGTGCGGTTTAGGCTTCATATGAGCATCACTCTTTCCCTTTGGGTTGATAGGGAAGGGCACGAACAGATATCAGGTTAGGGACCATAAACTCTTCATTCTTAGAGTTATCCATTATCTTAAGAGATCAAACAGTTGGTATTTACTCAATTGGCCACAGTTTTTAATGGAAAACTCTTATGGCCCAATTGTTTAAAACTCACACGACTTTTTTTCTTGGGTCTAAATTAAAACTTCATCAAATTCAAAAATCAAATATTTACCCGTCACGCTAAATATTTACGAGGGTCGTTGATACTTGAATTCGTGACCTTTTGTTATTCCTTTTACAGATTAGATTCTTCCATCCCTCACTCAAAACTTGTTCTCTGGCCATTACTCTCTGTCTTTAAGTTCCTATATTCTCTCTTCCCTAACCTTTCTTATGTTTTTGTTGTAAAGCAATGAATAATCAAAAACAGGCTTCCTTTTTGTGATTCCAGGATTGAACTTTTGGCAAACTCCAAGATTCTTTCTTCTTCCTATGGGTTTCCTCTGGTGTTGTTAATAAAGCAATGTGAAACAAAGAGAGAAAGAGAGAGGCGAAGGCAGCAAAATCAAAGGGTTGCAGTATGGTTTCAACTCAGAATAACTCATCCATTGATGGAAACCAGAGGCAAGGTGTTCCAGAATTGGAAGTTAGGCCTGGAGGAATGTTTGTTCAAATCAGAGATTTGAATCCAAATCCAAATCCCTCTCCTCCCACCATCAAACTTAAGGTCAAATTTGGGTCTTCTTACCATCACCTTCATATCAGCTCCCATGCAAGCTTCGGTAATGTCATCTTTCTCTTTGCATCTATTCAATTTCCTTCATTTTTCATTACTTATCAAATCAAAAGCTTTGAGTTGGGTTCATATTGATATCATTTTCTGGAGTCCAATGTCAACTAGCTAACAGTATATTTGATATCATATTATCTTGGAACGAGATTGATGAGTGTTGTTGATAAATGCATAATTTTGGCAGGTGAATTAAAAAAGATGTTGGCAGAACCAACTGGTTTGCACCCAGAAGAGCAAAAGTTAATATACAAAAACAAAGTGAGGGATTCGAAAAGCTATCTAGATGTGGCAGGAGTCAGAAATGGGTCAAAACTTGTGTTGGTTGAAGACGCTTTAAGCAAGGAAAGACGATGCCTTGAGATGCTTAAAGACGCAAACTTTCAAAACTCCTCAAAATTGCTAAAACAACTTAGGTTGGAAGTGAAAAAGCTGTCTCAACAGGTATCAAATTTGGATTCTTTTTCCTTCGTCGTTTCGTTCATAAGAGCTTTCAAAAGGGGTTTTGTATTTGGTGTTTGATAGGTTGAATCACTTCATATGAAAGGTTGTAAGGAAGGGAGAGTGTCAGAAACTGAAGTGGAGAATTTGACTGAAATGCTTATGAGAAAATTGATTGCGTTGGATGAAATTCAAGTGGTGGGAGACCCGAGGCTGCAAAGAAGAGAACAGGTAATGAAACGACTTCAATAATTTTCATACAAACTCGCATAATAATTTTCATACAAACTCACATACTTCCAACTCTAATTCATTTCAATTGCAAAAGGTGAGGGAAGTTCAAAGGCAAATAGAAAGCCTTGACATGATGAAGCTGCAACTCTGCAGCAATGGAGGTGGAGACTCACATAATGCCCATGCTTTTACTTCCACCAATGCAAAGGGAAACCAAAGGTTGCACCCAAAGCAGCACTGTACCAGCATAGTGAAGGAAGCTCTAAGGAATTCTGAATCTGTGGTCACAACCAAATGGGAGACTTTTGATTAGCCGTATCATCACTTTCAAACTACCACAAAAGTTCATATTCGACTCCGACTCCGACTCCGACTCCAACTCCATGTTTAAATTTTAATGATGGAGAACAAATTTGTTAGGAGAAATGTTTAAAGTCTGATGCTATTCATTATCTGCAAATTAAATGATAAACTCTTATAGGCGAGAGTTTACAACTCACTCAGAATTAAGTATATCATATAATAATCTTCTTAAACAATAAATTTATAATGAGCCATTAAATCTTCAATGGTCTATTCTCGTATAAATTCTCCGTATCCATAGATTTTTTTTAGGTAGATTGGGTGAAAAAAAAAAAAAAAAGAAAATAGAGGGGTGATGGATGGGATTGAGTGGAATTTTATTTTTATTATTCAATTGTCACATTTTGACAATAATGCAATTTCATATATATATATATATATATATATATATATAATTATTTTGAGACGTTTCAAACGTGTAATTGAATTAAGCAAAAAAAGTCACTCAACTGCTTCCAATTTATTTGAAAAAGACGCCGACAGAAAGAGAGAGGAAACTGATTTTGTACCAGAGCTTCAACTTGGTCTTCAATGGAGTCATCGATCACGGATCCTTCTCTTCATTCCTTTCTGCGATTCTCTTCTTCTTCTTCTTCTGGGGAACCCGGCGCCATGAGTAAGGGGGTTTATACGGTCTTCGATTACGATTCTCATTTCTTTTAGCGTTGAAGACCATCAAGGTTCTCCAGAGGAATAATCTCCATCACTCACACGCCTCTGTGGACCCTCACAAGGTTAGTTTATTCGCCATAACCGGCTTTCTCGCAATCAGAATTTCAGAGGATAAGGTCCGCACTTCGAGGACTCTGTTTGTTTGCTTTAAGGGTTTCATTTATTTGTCGTTTTCCATAACCGATGGCACTCTGTAATGGATGATCGTGTTCGATCATATCACTTTTCTGTGGTGAATATTTCTGAATTCCATGTGAGTTGACTCTTCCAAGTTGGGGGGAGAAATATGGAAATAGAACAACAGTTCAATAATATTCGTTGTTTGTGAATATAATTGAGTTGAACATTTCAAAGTTGTACTGCCTCTTTTCTATGGAGATACAATTGCGTCAATTTTGACGATTTCTGTTCGGCTTGTGTAAAGATCTCTGGGAGTAATTTACTGGGAAGGCATTTTTGCTGAAATCTCTCACGGTCTGATTACTGTAATTGTTTTATATCCGTAGTTCAAGAAAGAACGGTTTTTGCTGCAATTTGTTTGTTGTCTTTACGTTATTACTCATTTTATATTCTGTTCTACTGATTCTAACTTCTATCATTTCAATCAGAAGATGGTTGACAAGGAATTTTTCACCGAATATGGTGAAGCTACTCAGTATGAAATTGAAGAAGTTATAGGCAAAGGGAGCTATGGGGTTGTTGCATCTGCCATAGACACTCACTCTGGCGAGAAAGTTGCCATCAAGAAGATAAATAATGTCTTCGAGCACGTTTCGGATGCTACACGGATTCTTAGAGAAATTAAGCTCCTCCGTTTTCTCCGGCATCCTGATATTGTTGACATAAAACATATAATACTCCCTCCTTCCAGAAGGGAGTTCAAAGATTTGTACATTGTTTTTGAGTTGATGGAGTCTGACCTTCATCATGTACTCAAAGCTAATGATGATCTCACCCCTCAACATCATCAATTTTTCTTGTATCAACTTCTTAGAGCCTTGAAGTATATACATTCAGGTCAGGCCTCCATTTTTTTCCGGCTTTGGTAAAATATCTTTCTATGCATTCAGAGGATCTGATTTATTTGGGGTTTTCCAGCACATGTGTTCCATAGAGATTTGAAGCCAAAGAATATACTTGCCAATGCAGACTGCAAACTGAAGATCTGTGACTTTGGGCTTGCTCGTGCATCTTTTACTGATGCCCCATCTGCTATTTTTTGGACTGTGTGTATTCTTTTTGTGGCAAGATAAAAAATGGTTTCAATTATTCTAGGGGTTAAAAGCTTTCTGTAAATTGATTAAATCCTGTTTGATTTAACTGACTGACTTTGATCACTTCTTCAAAGGATTATGTGGCTACTCGATGGTACCGTGCTCCTGAACTCTGTGGCTCCTTTTTCTCAAAGGTAACTAAAGGATATCCTGCTCTACATTCTGCTTTTCAACCGTATTTATGTTCTGTTTGCAGTATGTAATTGATGATTTTGTTATCTATCTGTTCGTTTTATTTTGTTCTCTGTTTGTCTGCTTATCTTGTTCATTTTTGCTGCTGGAAATTTTCTTTCATATTCTTGTACTCTTAAGTGTGACTTCCTTTTTAAAAAGGAAAGCAAAAGAAGTCCAATCATGTGACTGCGTGGGAAATCTTTGATCTAATTTGAAGCTTCGTTCCCCACCTTCTCTCTTCCCCTCTCAGATGGTTAGACAGACACATTCCTCTGAGCAGTCAGTTGGACTATCAGACAGATGGGCTTTGCCTTTTTTTATATGTTTATGGTTGTGCAGACTCTCTGTCTCTGTATCTGTCTCTTTCATACACGCTGCTGGCCCTTTATGATGAACTCGCCTTCCTTTCAGTTTCTTGTCCCTTGTAAACATCCATTATATAAGTGTAGGCACATTGAAGTTTAGTTTTAGAAAACTAAATAAACATTTTTATGGTTTCTTCTACTCTTATCAATACCATTTTTAAATCAACATCATTGTACATGGTTTAATAAAGTGAACTTCATGTGCCGATCTGACTGAGGTTTCCCGAGTTTACCATGACATATTTTCATTGACTATGATTTGTAGTATACACCAGCTATTGATATTTGGAGCATAGGATGTATATTCGCTGAAATGTTGGCAGGCAAGCCATTGTTTCCTGGGAATAGTGTTGTGCATGAGCTGGATCTAATAACTGATTTACTTGGTACTCCTTCGGCTGAATGCATTGCTAAGGTTTCTATTTCAAAATTTGTCTTTACATAATTTTCATATCTTGGACCCTCTGGTCCTGATTATAAACTGATGTTTCCCCTCCTTATAGATTCGTAATGAAAAGGCTAAAAGATACTTGAATAGCATGAAAAAAAAGCACCCTATTCCTCTGTCAAGAAAGTTCCCTAATGCAGATCCACTAGCTCTTCATTTACTTGAGCGTCTGCTTGCATTTGATCCTGAGGATCGTCCTTCTGCTGAGGAGGTGGGATTCGGTGATACTAATTTTTAACTGCTTTTTAGCTATCATGACTTTTGCAGAAACTTATTCATCTCTAATGTCCTTTTGTATAGGCATTAGCTGATCCATATTTCCATGGGCTTGCAAATGTGGAGGATGAACCATCGAGGCAACCCATTTCAAAACTTGAGTTTGAGTTTGAAAGGAGAAAGTTAACCAAAAATGATGTCAGAGAGCTTATTTATAGAGAAGTATGACTCATAAAATCATTGCTTTATATATTTGCTGGTCAGGTGTTTTCTGCAATTCTGCTTAGTCCACTCAAGTTATCCTTTTTGAAATGTAACAGATTTTAGAGTATCATCCTCAAATGCTACAGGAATACCTTCAAGGTTCTGAGAGTCACTTCTTGTATCCCAGGTAACAAACTCTGACTGATTTATTAGTTGTTTATTTGCAAGAGATAATATTAATTTCTTTTCTTTCCTTAAAAAATGTGTCAACTAGTGGAATTGATCAATTCAAGCGTCAATTTGATCATCTGGAGGAACACTCTGGTAAAGGTGAGAGAGGCAGTCCGCTCCTGAGGAAGTATGTCTCCTTGCCTAGGTATAACTAATGTTTGAACAAAGCATGTGATGTTTTGCAATCTTCATCTTTTATTTAATTGGTTTAGTATCACCCTCCTTGCTTATCCTTTACTATCATAGGGAGCGAATCTGTACACCAAGAGATGAAGATGATGATAATTGTAAAACAGAACAGAATGCAACTTCAGCTGAACCTGCAGCGCATCAAAGCACTCCTGGACCTGGTTATTCATTAACTGCTCTGAATGGTTCTGTTCAAGTAGACTGCAGCAATTACAACCTGTTGAGGAGTGCAAGTATTAGTTGCTCAAAATGGGTGGATTAATTGCAAAGGTTGCACGGTAAGTACACTGACTCTACAAAAAGAATCCGGAGGGTTTTTGGGGGGTGGCGGGGTGGATCTTTTATTGAAAACCTATGCTCGTCAATCACTTGAATCATTTGTGTATTCGTATAATGTGTCTTAAACCAAAGCAACAGAGAAAAATTAATAATCATAAGTTAAGGGTGAGAAGGCTTGTGCTTATTGTCTTAAGGGGAGTTATGATTCCACTGCACTAAGAAAACCTACACTTCTCTTCCGAGACACAACCCTCCAAGAAAAAAAAAGCAAAAAAGAAAGAAACCTTGCTTGCTGCTAAGCTTTCTCGCAAATTTCGTACGGTTTGTATGCTCAATGAAAGGACCTGTGGAAAGTTAATTATGCTCACTGGAGTTGACAAAGCTCTCTGTAAGGGTCACTCTATTTTTCTCAAACTATTTTCTTCAGAAAAGGTGTTCTACAAGAGGTAGCTTTCAGTTTTCCCGTTTGTTCAGTTTGACAAATTTGAAATCACCGACCTCTCTAAATAACATCCTAGTTATAAGGGATGTGGATTTTTTCCTCTCTATGACTTTAGTGTGAACATAAATCAGATTGTTCTCAAATTATATGACTTGTTTGCTTTTCCTTGCAGGCAGAAAGAATGCCAGATTGCTAGCCTTTCTCAGAATCTTAAATTGTAAAATGTCTCTCATTCATATGGCTTTGAACTTGCCATTTAACCTTTAAGCTCTCGTTCCACTTCTGGGCCATTTTAGTTTATCATAACTGATGTATTGGTAAAGGATAAATGTGGACAACATATGCAAAGTAAGAACAAACGATCAAATTTATGCTTTTTGGCTCAGCGTTTCTTCACTGGTTCATTTTTAATATTTGTTTTATTTGGGTTCAGTAAGGTTGGAGATTTGTTTCGATCACTTCCTAGAATTATTTTGAGTTTGTAAAAAATATACTTATAGTACTTGTTCAATACTGCTCTTTCTCATTTTAAAGAAAATTTAAAACATCATGCATAGAAAGAGAAAAATAAAGCCCCCAATCTCTTGGTTCTTTTTTTTTTTTTTTTTTTTAAAAAAAAAAAAACATACATGAATCAAGAAATTGGGAAAACGAGCACCCACCTCAACTAAGAAAAAAGATGATGGGGGAGGCGGACGGTAAAGACGATGACAATAAGTGTCATTCGCATCCCAGAAAAAAGATGATGGGGGAGGCGTTGACTGATTTAGAGAGATCTCCTTCCAACCACTAGTATGGTTATTGAATGGTTATTGAAATCATTAAGTAACAGTTGGATATAATTTTTCAAATGAAAATGTATAATTATTATATGTTATTTAGGAATAATGGAAGAGGGGAAGATCAAGTCTTATTTATGTTCTGGTATAATTAGTAACATACAATGCCTAACAGCCGATCCATATATATTCAAAGAATAATACAAATCAAACAAAGGGGCGATGATTCGAACCTAAGACCCATAAGTGAAGTTATTCGTGTAATCATGATCAATTGAGCTATCTATGCTCAAACCTACAACAATGCTTCAATTTCAAAAAATTAGAATTTTAGTATTGAAGTGCGCAGCCCCATCATGGTAGTAAACAGTCTCAAAGCTCTTTGGTTGTTGATTGGTGTTTTCCTACCCACTTCCATCAAGTTGTCCATGAGACAGAAGATGTGCCATGTATTGCTGCCAGAATTTAAACAAAAAATGAGCTATAGTGGTAATTCCCTGGATGTGGACTTCCATTGTGTACAGCCTCACAAACATAGTTAGAGGATATGATAAATATGCACCAGAAAAAGCTCCATTTCTGATCCGAAACATGTGATGATATTCTTCTCAAGTGTTCATGTGAGTTTGAGTACTTGTAAGGAACAAGCTGGGCATATAAGCAAGGATATAGTGGTAGTTAGTAAGGGGTGTATTTGTTATTAGTCTGGTGTGTATTGGTCATAAATCCGGGTGTTAGGGTTTTCTTAGAAAAGGGAAAATGTTTTTGCTTCATTGTCTTAGTGCGGGAATTTTGGGGGACAGCCCTCTCAAAAGACTATATTGGTATTGTAATTTCTATTGATATTGCAATACAGTTCTGTTAATGTTTTCTTGTTATTGTGATCCTAACATGTTATACCCTTGGTTTGTTGCATAGCTCGACCTTCACTTCAGAAATAGTTAATGCCCATAATTAGACTACAGTTCATTTAGACAGCATCTTAAAATTTGTATACCTACAGATGGAACAACTATACAACTATAATCACTCCAGCTAATTCCAAACTGGCAATAGAGCTTTATAAATCTTTCTCCCTAGTTGAACAGAGAACAAAGGCTATAAATTATCATAATCTCCTCATTTCATTGTCATCAATGACTTCATAAAAGGGTATTCTTTCATCTTAACAACATTTCTTAACTCTTAACAAAGCAGCAAATTTCAGAGTTTCATGCACTTACATAACTTCCATATGATTTGTTCTCCTAATTCCCACATTGGAATCATTAAACTGAACTAAAAATCTGACCAGAAATCAGTGTAATACAAAACAATTCAACACTCAGCAGGAATCATAATTACGTACCAAACTAGAAAGAGAACAACCAAAAGACGAGGCAAACTTACAGAATGATATGCATAAGGCGATTTTCCTTGACGTTCAAAATGTTTAGCCATGACGCAGAATTCAATTGGACCCCATTCTTCTATTTCAAAACAATTCCCAAGAGCAGCTTTGTACAACTACAGCAAACAAAATGAAAATTAGCACAAGAGTTCTGAACATCAAAAGAGTATGAAACCCAAATCAAAGGACGCAAAAACCTTCGTAGTGTCTGTCAAGAGCTCTGTACCAGCAGGGTAAGAAGCATAAAATTGATCCCCTCGAGAATATCCAGCTCTAGTTCTGCAATACCCCGAACAAAAATCAGAGAACAAAAAAGTGGACAAAATTAAAGAGCAATGTCTGAACTCACGTATTGCTTGTATAAGCGTAACTCAAAACGGAAACGAAGAGATAGAATCCAGTATAGGACACAAGTCTTCGAAACTTTTGAATCTTTAGGACCTCTTTAGCTCCGTAATACAGCCCCATATCTGGAAGAACGAAGACCCCTGAACATCAGTAATGGACAAAAGTGGGAGTATAGCTATTATAATCGTCATTACAAGCTCACCAAAATCGAATCGTGAACGAACCTAGAAGTGGAAGCAGCCGAGTAAGATTCGAGAGAGAGATCGGTGGCGAGGGGAAACCGAAGAAAGGGAGCTGAGAATTAGTGAGAATTTAGGAGCGATTAGGGGCTCGGAACTCGCAAGGGAGACGGTTCGAAGTTGCGGCTTCAGACCCCCTTTCCCGTCTCCCTTTTCTTTTTAATTTAGTTGAATTTTAATATCAAAATTGAATATAAATTGGAGAAAATTATAATTAAAATCGAAGGCCCAACCCACTGGAAGCCAAGCCCATGGGCCAAGCGCCCGTAAGGCTGGGTTTTTCTTTTTACATTTTAAATTAGGTTTTTATTTGCTTACAACACTCTCAAGGGTGGAAGAATCTTAACACCACATTCGTGTCACAAACGTTGCCGCTAAATGAAATTAAATTCAAGCATGACATGTCAGTTGCATGTCCAACCCTTGCATTGTATCATTGTTAAACTTGAAATGGTTCAAGATATATTATGACTAGTCGTCAACGAAGTTATATTATTATTTTTTTTCATTTCTCTCGACCTTAGCTTCCAAATTCTCTTTCTAAAATCTCTCTCTCTCATTTTTTTTAAACATTTCTCTTAAAGTGGGGCTAGAGGGGCTTCGATATATGGTCAAGCCAAAAAGTTGGCTGACTCACTTAGTGATGAGAGTGAATGTTGCACAGTTGCTTACAAAGGTTCTGTAAGAGCGTAATTGTAATACCATGCATACAATAATGGTTGTCCAACAAGTATACAAATGATTTTTTATTTTATTTTATTAAACTTCTACACCACTTATGATATTTTAAAACAATTTACCTTAAAACCTATTATAACAACTTGGGGGTAACAGAGAGTGAGAGTAGTGAGTAGTGAGAGTAAATGGCGCATATTCTATACTTAGAAATTACAATTAAGTTATGATATACATTCTATATTTACACTAGTCGTAATACAAATTTATAAATAAATTATTGAGGTAAACATTTCCTATTTTTAATGGCCACCTAGGAAAAGGAAGTTAAATTTGTGGGTCCAATAATTGAAGGATTAAATATTTTGGTTATGTTTACATTTATAGAAGGTTGTTTGAGTTATGATTCCCAAAAATGTCACAATCTTTAAAAAGAATAAAAAACTGAAGTGTTTTAAGGCCCTAAAAGACAGCCATGAACCAATTCAAATGGAACCAATTCAAATGGAACCAATTCAAAGGCCAACCATTTCAAAGGCCAACCATTATAATCGCACCTTTCTGCTGGCTTTCCTAAAAAATTCTAGCCTCTACTTTTTCGTTCCTATGAATACATCCAATTCTCACCCTTTTCTTGTTCACATTATAAATAGGACAGCTTCCGGCTTGAATATCCAAGTCAACAATTATTGGTTGTACGTCTATGATGAGGACATTGAGATGCTCTAGCCTTTTCGTCCTTGTTGTGTTCTTCGTAGGATGCCTTGGCGTCGAAGAAAACAAGGAGGAAAAGGTTTTTGATTGAATATAGTTTATGAGGCATTTTAGTGTTTCTTTTCTTGTCTGATCATCCTGTGGTCGTGTTTTTTTTTTTGCAGAAACATTTCATCGTCTTTCTGGAGAATCAACCTGTTCTGAGTGAGGTTGATGCAGTAGACAATCATCTCAATGTCCTCATGTCACTCAAGGAAAGGTGGGTTTTGTTATGTTATTCTGAAACCAACCCAAATCCTAAAATCATTCCCTTTTTAAACCCTTTCCTTTTACAGCCATGTGGAGGCAAAGGAGGCGATGGTGTATAGCTACACCAAAAGCTTCAATGCTTTTGCAGCCAAGCTTACAGAACAGGAAGCCAACGCATTGTCAAGTAATGAATTGGACTTCATTTTTTGTTCATTAATTTCCCAACCTTTCTTTCATTTTTATATATACAAATGGTTTTGATGCAGAGAGGGGCGATGTGACTCATGTGATCCCGAACAGACGTAGAGAGATTCAAACCACCCGATCGTGGGACTTCATTGGATTTTCTTCCAATGCAAAAAGACGGCCCAACCGGGAGTCTAATATTATTGTCGGTTTATTTGATACCGGTAAGGAATACATCTACATTGTCACGATGCCTGCCTGCCTGCCTTTTGGAGAACTCCAAAGCAAAGCCGTGATAGCTTCTTCGTCCTAGTCCTAATTGTATTCGCATGTTGTTAAATAGGGATCTCCCCAACAGCCGATAGCTTTAAAGATGATGGGTTTGGTCCTCCACCTAAAAAATGGAAAGGCACCTGCCAAAAATCTGCCAATTTCTCTGGTTGCAACAAGTAAAATTTCATATCATTTTTGTCACTTCAAATGTTACATTTTCATGCCTTTAATTCTCACTTCTTCCTCCTTTGTCCCTTTGTTTGCTGGTCTGAAGCAAACTCATTGGAGCTAGATATTTCATGCTCGAAGGCAGCGCTGGACCCCAAGACATTATGGCACCGGTAGATGTCACAGGCCATGGAACGCACACGTCCTCAACAGCGGCGGGCAATGTAATTGCTGGAGCCAGTCTCTCCGGTCTGGCCGAAGGAACAGCCCGTGGTGGTGTGCCATCTGCAAGAGTTGCCATGTACAAGGTCTGCTGGGTCGGTGTTGGGTGCTCTGATATGGATATTCTGGCTGCCTTCGACGCTGCCATACACGATGGCGTTGATGTCATTTCGATATCGATAGCAGGCACCGGCTTCAGCAATTACTCTGAGGACGTGATGGCCATTGGCGCCTTTCAGGCCATGCAGAAGGGCATCATCACTGTGGCTGCCGCTGGCAACACTGGTCCGGCAGCTGGCAGTGTCGTCAACACCGCGCCGTGGATTGTGACGGTTGCTGCCAGTACGATTGATCGGGAATTTGTCACCAAGTTGGTGTTGGGCAATGGGTGGAACATCTCTGTAAGTTTATTGCATCAATACTTCTTCATTTACGTCTAAACTGATTGCTAAATAGTTTAGTTTAAATGGGTCAAAACAAGATTTAAACTTTAGTCTAAAAATAATTGCATTAATTTATTCCCTAGTAGTAGTAGTAGTAGTAGTAGTTTAGAAATGATGTTTGAATTCCAGTTGTTTTGTATGAATTATATATGAACAGGGAGTAGGAATAAACTTGTTCAATGAACAACCAAAAATGTACCCTTTGGTTGATGGAGGCGATGTGGCCAAGAATCCAGGGGACAAAACCAGTGCGAACTTTTGCATGGAGGGTTCACTTGATCCAACCAAGGCCAATGGCAAGCTTGTGTTCTGTCAATTGATGATCTGGGGGGCTGATTCCGCTGTCAAAACAGCTGGTGCCCATGGCGCTGTGATTCAAAGTGATCAGTACTATCTTGATCATACCGATCTCTTCATGGTTCCAGCCACCTTGGTTAATAGCACCATTGGTCAAACCATTGAAGCCTACATCAAGTCCACAAAGTAAAAGTCTTCACATTTTGTGCTTTTTCTAATTTTGGTTTATGTGTTGGTGGCGTTAACAATTTTGGGTATTGGAATTGATTTGAGTGCAGAACACCGACGGCAATGATATACAGAACAGTGCAACGGCAAGCAGCTGCTCCATTCGTGGCTTCCTTCTCGGCTAGAGGCCCAAATCAACGCTCCCGCCTCATTCTAAAGGTATATAAAAATACAAAATTGATTCCCTTTAGTTTAGATAAATAAATAGTATATAATGTGGATGTGTTGCAGCCGGACATAGTCGCACCAGGAGTTAACATATTGGCAGCCTACACACCACTGAATTCACTGACGGGGCTCAAGGGTGACACCCAACACTCAAAGTTTTCTCTCTTGTCTGGCACTTCAATGGCCTGCCCTCACGTGGCCGGCGCCGCCGCTTATGTCAAGTCTTTCCACCCTCGTTGGTCTCCCGCGGCCATTAGATCTGCCTTGATCACCACGGGTACCCGCTCTCCCTCTATTCTGTTCAATTAATTACAATTGGAAGTTGTTAGACACTAATGTTTTTAACATCTGTATTATGAAGCGAAACCTCTGAGTCGAGTACAGAGCCCGGATGGGGAATTCGGGTACGGTGCGGGACTTCTAAATCCAGATAGAGCCAGAGAACCGGGGCTAATCTACGAGGCGGACAAAATGTCGTACATCCAACACCTTTGCAACCAAGGGTACAACGCATCTTCAATTTCCATCCTCACCGGAGCAGGGCCCGTAGACTGCTCCACTCTAATCCCCGCCCAGGGTTACGACTCTCTCAACTACCCAACCTTTCAACTCAGCCTCAATAATACCCGACACCCGACAACCGCCGTCTTCTGGCGACAGGTCACCAATGTTGGTCGTCCTACCTCCGTCTACAAGGCTACCATCACGGCTCCCCCTGGGGTCGAGATCACAGTGGAGCCAACGTCTCTGTCGTTCTCGTCTTTGCAGCAGACCCAGAGCTTTAAGGTGGTTGTGAAGGCCAATCCTCTGCCGCCACAAAACATGGTATCTGGTTCGCTTACGTGGGCTTATGCTAACTATGTTGTCAGAAGTCCGATTGTTATTTACACACATGAGGACTTTGGAGATAATGAGGGTTTGATTGTATGAAGCTTATGTGTTGGACTAATCTGTTTATCTATGGCCAAAAAGAAAAAAAAAAAGAAAAACATTAACATGATTATTAAAGCCTTTTTTTCTTTGATAAACTGGAAGGTGCTCGTTCTTCGTAAACTCTAATCTTACATCATTTCTGGTGATACTCTCATGCCATAATGGAAATAATGGTTATGAAAACTAAAAAAGAAGTTGTATTCTGGTTATTTAATCTAATTAGGTAAGGATGATTTGATTCATTTTGAGCTTAGGTATTCAACCCAAGCAAGATTGGAAAAGAAACAGGTCATTGATTCCCAATTGGGTTGGCTAGTTAGTTTTGAGACAGACATCCATCTCCTTCTCTCAAGCACACAGAAGGGTCCGGTGTGTGTTGCAAAATGGGATTTTTTTTTTAGTGGTACGGCGTGCGCTATGCCACTAGAGGGATCCAAAACTAATCCCTCCAATGATTGTGTATATATAGAAACCCTCTGCTTCTCTCAACTGCACCCTCTTCCTGCTTCACACAAGCACAGTGAGTAAAACTCTCTCCCCATCTCTTCTAGAAAATAATGAACTTAGTTCTTTTCTAATGTTTCTTCTGCATGCATCTTTACATGAAGCCCTGTAGCAGTAACCTGGCAGTATCGTGTAAGTATCGTGTTGTTTGGGTGTCGAGGAAGTATCGTGTAAGAAGTCCTGTAGCAGTAACCTGGCAGTAGGCAAGGGTGCTGAGTTTGGAGTGCATTTCCTATGTATTTGAAAACGGAACGCAGACCTTTGTAATCATCGACTCGACCCAACCATAAAACAAAATTTTAGGTTGGTCTCCTAAATAATAAGGATTTATTTATTATAATTAGTTACATAATGGAACCAACATGGTTCCATGTGATGATGTGATGGAATGAAAGATAATATGGCCGATTAAATCCAACATTTATAATCATTAATAGCCACTTAAATACGTGGCAGCTACATGTAACTATAAAAATGGTTACTAGCGGTTACTCCTCCCAATTTTAAATTAAAAAAAGTTCTAAAAACATAGATGAAAAGGTACTCTCAAATTTAATAACCACACAGTAATAATTAACTTAAATATAGTTTAGAAGTTTTAATTTTGTGTATATTTAAAGCAGTAAAAACAATTCATTTTGTTTCAAATTTTCAAATATTGAAGAGTTTAAGCAACTATTCCTTAAATGTTTATGAAATTGTCTAAAAATTTTAAAATTATTGTGCCATGTTTCTCATATGTTGTTTTGGTTTTTTTAAAAAGGAAAAATAGAACATGATCTTATTTTTTTGTTCTCTCTTTTTATTAAAAAAAAAGAAAAAAACAAAAAGGAAAACATGTTTCATATTGATGGAAGGTAATTAGATGTATAAGTGAGGAAAAGAAAAAAAAAAAAAAAAAAAAAAAAAAAGAA